GTTTACCTTGTTTAAGACTGTAGATCACAAGTATCAAGAATATGAACATAATTTTTACTTTAGTAGCCATCACAGTGATGCGTTCATAATTTTTCAACTAGATTTTATATATAAGATAGAACTACCTATATAAGTACACACTGCGATTTTACAGGGTGGACCAGAAGTAGTTCTATCTTATATATAAAATCTAATCAAAAAATTGCTTCCTATGGTAACATTTATTCCGTATTGTAACATACCAGGGTGGGTTAGAAGTAGATTAACATTACTGTTAAATTAATTTATTATTTAATAGTTACATAACTGTTACTCCTGGCCCACCCTGCATAAGATTTCGCTCTTCAAACTCATAAAATTAGGAATCATAAATAATTTTTGATTCGGGTTCACTTTGAATGCTGCTCTTTGAAAGCTGCCATCTTTCATACGTACTGGACAACAGCACTCACTGCAGTTCAAATATTTCTATCTTTGAATTCTGACACATGACACGATTTTGAGTTGTTAAATATTTGGACTCCAAATTCAGTTCCCGTCTCTTAGAAGGCAAAATCACGTTTGGAAATAACTATAACAAGCCTGGATCAATTTCTGTTAAAGTAGAACTCCGACTACAGTGTTGTTCGAGGAGTGTGAAGTTCCAACAAAAAGAATCTGATATGCTTAAAAATTTAAATCCAAGAAAATATTAAACAGTGATTCATTCCTTACACACCCATTGTATATTTAGAGCAATCACCCTGGCGCGTGACATGACACTCATAGGCTGAAATAAATTGGGTGCGGGGGGCAACGCCGAATCGGTAAAATTCCGGTCCTTCCGAATAATGGTATCTTTTTACATATTGTTTAAGATCAATGGCCTCTTATATATAGGCTTAACATACGTCCGGTTTTAGGCGGGACAGTCCCACTTTTCAATGTCTTCTATCGGCGACCCGACCGGTCACCCAAAATCCTCACTTTGGCGTTCAGCCAGCCAGCATATTACGCGAACATTATTAATTAGCATATTATCGTAGCGTACCGGTAGCTTACTTACTGAAGGTGGATGCGTGGTTTAGTTTGTTTCGTTGTTTTATAGCGGATAATTGCTACGTGTAAGGCCCTTACGCCAAGGGGGTGCTTAATGTTAACGTGGATTCGTTTTTATTTTTCGAACTGAAACCAATATTGAGCTTGGGCCCAAATTATACAATAAAACGCATACCAGTGTTTCATGAAAGCATAGTGTGATATTGCAATGAAAAGATGATTAAACAATCACACGGATAGTGGCGTATCTACGTAAAATTGCGCCATTGGCAAAGTCAAAAAATGCGCGCCCTCGATCATCGAGCATCAATTTTAGATACTTGTGTGGCATTGTTTAACTAAAAATACGAATTTTAAATTATTTACAGTCTGAATTTATTTTATTGAAACATTTTACAATTAAAACGTTTAGCCGTTTTTGCGCCCCCGTCCAAACGGCGCCCATGGCCATGCCTGCCACACCCTACATACGCCTCTGCACACGGAAAATTGAAAATCACGAATTTTATCAGGCATGCATCATCCATCACTGATAGGCTAACAATCACACTTGGTTAGACGGATGTTCTTACAAATTACAGTTTGTAATTTAAATCAATATTTAAATAAAAAATCAAGTATTTTTATTCAAAATTAATTCCCTGGGGGGTTTATGCACTCCAGCTACAGAACTCCTGATTTAAACCCTATTTGACGTTTTTTTACTCTTCCTGAACTATCTGCGCTTACAAATCTTTTATAAGCGGATATAACGCCCACGGCCTAACATATTAACGATATCTAACCGCTCGCGTTAATGGATGACTCTAAATAAGCTATGTCTACAGTTACACATTGCCAAATGTTTTGCTAACCAGTGCACCCAATCAAATTTCGATCTGCTCTTTCAAACAATTCTTTCAGAATGGTAGCGTGTAAAATGGTATTATAAAAAGCGAGTGTTATAATATTGATACACTGTATTCTATCAATTCCTATGATTTCTGGCAAGTGCATATATATATCGTATTATAGAGAGCTTAAGGATGCTAAACCAGTGCGTCTGACCAAATTCACATCTATTCGTCCAATTTACCAATACAAACAAAAAGAAAATAACGTTTAAAATGAGAGTGTCCAACTACAAACATGGGCAAAGTACGCCCGCGGGCCAAATCCGGCCCGTTGGGTAATTCAATCTGGCCCGCCCGATGCTGCCGCAACCAAACTGAAACTAAATTTTAATGTTTCAGCTAAAAATAACCCATGAAATCTGTTGAAATTGCGGTTAAATTTAGTTTTTGCACGAGGCATATTGTTTTCAATCTTTACTCTGTAACACTGTAAATATTGCCCATAAAATGTAACTGTTTACGTCACCCTTACATAGCCAGACAGACTAGGTGGGCAAAATATTTGGCCCCTTGGTTCAAAAACTATCCATGAGATGCTATAGTTGTAAAGCGAGTCTTTCTATAATTTCTGGCAGGTGCATGGTAATCGTGCAATAGCAGCGAATACTGAACTAATACATCTGACCAATTTTTCAAGTACTCGTTTAAGTCATCAAGTCAAAAATATTAACGCGAAAATTAATATAGGAGCAAGTATCCGTTTATTAGACGCAAACTACAGTACGTAATAAGAGCACCGATTTCTAGTATTCGAAACAATGTGACATCACACAAGAATTAATTTATTGGTGCTACTTTGGTATTCGATCTCAGCGTTTGTGTAATATCGCATACCAGAGTGGCACCAATTCATGCTTTCCTCGATAAACCAGTACACATGATCAAATCTCCATCTATCGATGCAAAACAAAAATTATGGCGTCCATCTATCTATGAGGTTCTGTCGCTGTACAGCCCGATTTAATCTTTTTTATTCCAAACAATGCGACACTGTGGTAAAAGACGGATTCCTGCTTTCGTCCGGGACAAAGAAGGGATATGATGCGTTATGAATCAATATGCTAGTTTTTAACATTACGCTAATGTATTTCTAATTCAATAGCTTGGAGTTTCATAGCAAAGTCGTGTTGTGAATATTGCAAATATTTTCTAGGAATAGGTAATTAAACTGGTAAAAATTCCCATGATTGGTATCTATATAGTTACCCGTCGGGAAATTGTAGCGGAAACTTGGTCAAGACAATTTATGTCTGGTACGATGATAAAACAGAAACATTGGCATGCGTCAAATGCAGCATTTTTAGTTAATTCAACGAACAGCAACTATTAAATTTCGACCCCTAGTCGTGTTGTTGTCCACGGCTCCGGTAAAACAATTTGGGGTACTCCTGGTCCTGAAGTATGCGTACCAAGATGGCGGACAACGGAACGTAGTATGTGTTTTTCCAATTTTAGTTCTATTACGAGTTCGGAGACTAGCGAAGTGACTCCCGTAGTATTTGTACCTAAAATTATGGCCTAACCCTAACCTGCTACACATACTACGTTCCGGTGTCCGCCATCTTGGTTAACGGAGGGAGCGCTTTTTCGAGGATCTATGCTGTTTTAAATGAGTTAAAACAAAAGATGGGGCACCTAACTTGTTAAAATCGGCAAAAGCTCTTTCGCACTTTTTTTTTGGACTGCGAAGCACTTTTGCACTCATAATTTGCTTAGAGTTAACACTGGTTCACATACTTTGGGAGTACCCAGAAACCAGGTCATTTGGAACAAATTGTAGAGAGAACATAAATTTTATGCAAAGCGTCTTAATATTCCTGAAACTTTGGTACTTCGGGTACAAATCACAATCATTTATGCATTTGTATCACAAATATGGATTAATTATTTAAGCTTAATTTATTTCTAAAATTAAATATCTAATAATGCAACAATATTATTTAAAGATATTGATATGTATTCAAACCACTGCAGCATTTGCCAAATACATCGACCCGTAAAACTAGCATACGGTTCAAAATAAGTGCATAGAACGCTATAATTGCTTTCTCAGTATGATTTGTTAGAATCACTCTCTCACAGGTGACACTGCTGTGTACTTTCGATTTGTGATAAAATAAACTGCTTACTGACTTATTGCCTTTGATCTAATGCAAAATTACGGCGACGAGTTCTCACTACTATGTCATCAACGGGACATACTAGTTTCGTAATAGGCAGAGTCGACTTTCAAATAAGTCTCGCAAAGGAAGTTCACTTTATGCAAGCGGTGAACGCCAAAAATTCTAAACAATTATATGGAATCAAATTTGCCACAAAATTGTTTGCGTGATTAAAATACAATATCAACTGCACGGGAAATCAATAATATAACAGGATAATAATAAACCTCGTCACTTAACTCGACAAAAACCCGAAAGGGCGCATACAAGAGATAAACTTGCACAATTATAATGCACCACAATGAGGCGACAAAGAGCGATATAAGTTCTCACTACTATGTCGTCAACGGAACATACTAGTTTCGTAAATAGGCAGAGTCGACTTTCAAATCGGTCTCGCAAAGGAAGTTCACTTTATGCAAGAGGTGAACGCCAAAAATCCTAAAAAATGATATGGAATCGAATTTGCCACAAAATTGTTTGCTTGATTAAAATACAATATCAACTGCACGGGAAATCAATAATATAACAGGATAATAATAGACCTCGTCACTTAACTCGACAAAAATTCGAAAGGGCGCATACAAGAGATAAACTTGCACAATTATAATGCACCACAATGAGGCGACAAAGAGCGATAACTAAAATTAAGGCACAGCCATTATTCATATTTCCCAGGAAAGCGAAATCAGAGAAACTTTCGGTAATTTATATATACTTCCTGTTAATAGATAAATAGAGATTAATTTGTTACAGAGTTTCATAAGAAATTACGAATAAGAAAAACAAGTTGAAAATACGTGGATGGAACTTAAATATACTAAACGTAAATATCCAAAATAAAGAAATGTAAATATCCAAAACAAGGCGGGCAAGATCGAAGTTTTATTTTTAACTAGCTTTACGTCCCCTAACCGTTTGAGAACCACTGTTCTAAATAACTGTGTTTGACTCAAAAGCAAGTTTCAGTTTTTATTGCCTGTCTTTCTAAGTATTACACAATCGTCTGCCCATAAATGATATTATCAACCATCATTGCTGCAGGTTGATTATCATTTGTGTGTGGAGAAGAACTCTCGTAAATCACATTTTCAGTCATGTGTCTTTCATCGCCTGTTCTATGAGTAGGTTGTGCACTTCCGACTGACGAATTTCGTCTTTTCTTCCTAAAAATAAAGTATTTAATTAGGTGTTGTTAATCGTGATGATTGTTGAAAAATTTAGATATACAACCAAAGGTGTTATGTTGGTCCATTTGCGATTCATTATTTTTTCATTAGTTTGATCAAATAAATTTCTGCTACAGATGCTCAACCATTTGCACCAGGTTCGAATCAATCTAATGTCCTAATAAACGACTAGTACCTTCAATTTATTTATTTTTCGGATATGCCGCTATTAAACGTTGATTTACGGGAAAATAAATATCTGTTCGTAGTAACGTTAGTCGGCGTTTCGACGATCATTTGTAATTCCGAACTCCGCGAGCATAGCTCTCTCATAGCTTTCAAATGCGACTCCGAACCCAACTGTAGAAAGCAATTTGCAAACCTGACTTCGGGAATGGTTTCCCTAGAGCAGGACGAAGAATAAACTTGGATTTTGGTGTCTAAGTTATTTCACTCAACAAACTGCATAAGGGCCTGTGATCAAGTTAATCAAAATAATGTGTCATCGTGTACTTGCCTGTAGCGACACCAAATAAACAGAAGTCCTCCCAGCAATGCGGCCACGACTACGGCGATTACAATTGGAAGTATCGTGCTAATCAAAGTATTACTGCCCTGCTGAGAAGTGTGAGTCGTCACAGAAAGATTGTACGTAGTTGTATCGGACCAGTGTGTTTCCGGCGAAGTTGATGCTGAAATGGGGATGGGAGTGCTTGGTACACTTTTTGTTGAATCACGAGTATTTTGAATATATTTCGTCGGTTGAGGCATGCTCGTCGTCTCATAGGTTGACTGCACTTGGGTAGTTGGTGGTTCTGGCCCTGTTATGTAAATCAGTGAGATGGCCGTTAAGTAGCTCCCAGCCAAGTTTATTTTTTTCCTATCAGTGAAAATCAATCATGTACAATATTCGAAACTAAAAGATAATTGTACAGTCTTTTGAAAATGGAAGCCGCGCATAAACAGATCTGGTTAGAGCAGCGACATCCAGGGTTATAATATCTGATTGAAAGAAACGGTAATTTTAGTTAAAGAACTACTGCCGTTACCCGCCGACTTATAAAAAACTTCTTTCATTAAATATAAATATTAATTACGGAGAATCAGATTACAAGATAGGCTGGGAGAAAGTTCTAGATTATTGAAACCTAAAAATAATATTTTTAATCTTAGTGCTATGAAAAACAAGTTTAATTTTGTTTTACCTTCAGTGTTGCATTTTGAGTAATTGTAACTTATTGTTTTGATGTCAACTTTTTTTTTCATAGTTAAATTTAAACTCGTAGGCAACGAGGAAACCAATATCGAGCCATCCACATAACAGTCCTCAGTTGTTAGATCAAAACAAGTTTGATCAACACTGGAACCTGAAACAGGAGAGAATTTTTCAAACTTGTGGTCGCGCATCGGTAGCGGTAAAGTCTTGACTGTCAACTGAAAACTAAGTTTGCTGAAAAAACCGGACGACAAGGGGTACTGAATAAAATTGTTGACGTGAATCAAAATGATCCTGCAAAATCCAAGGCAAAATTTCGGGTCCCGCAAAACTCGGGGAAAATAGGAAGTTGTGATTAGAACTGAGCATTTCGAATTGAATAGTAAATTATTTGAATCATTTGAGACGAAAATTTCGAATCGCCGCCATCTTTTTTGTTTCTGTTCGCCAAAGGTCGAGATGAATTCTACAATTTTCTGTATTGAAGTCATATATTTGCAATGCAATTCGTACGTATGACAAGTTTTTCCTAGTTATTTATTGCTAAAACATGTTTCTGAATTTGTGTTTGAACACTGCGAACTAACTGGGCATTCCATGTGTAGAGGACCAGTTACAATAAAAAATACTTCTGAGTGAAGTTTTTTTTACCATCAATAGCAATCGCACCAACGACAATTTAGCAAACGATCAATAAGCACACTTTGTGTTCAAATAATGAAATGAAATTTTTCATACGCCCTCAAACAAATCAACTTCCGGAAGAGAAGACCTGAACGACCAGCGAATAGGAGAAGGCATTTTAGAATTTAAAGACGAGGTATTCTTTTGAATCGAATTCACCAACAACAGATTCATTATGTTATATTGGTTATATTTAGATAACATCAAAATAAAAACGTGGAACAGAGTTGTGCGACCTTTAATACAGGAGGGTCAGATACAAATAACTGGGTGAAATCGTGGGCCGCACCTGTATTCAACGTAGGCTTTCTAGTAGTTGCAGCCATAGAACTTTTGATTATTGATTTTATGACATGTGTTGTTCGCTCCGCACGAATTAGCTGTTGAGACATTGTAAGATCATGGGCATAGTTAATAAATTGGACTCGGGTACAGGCTTTTCAACAGTGAGGAATTAGAAATTATCGCAACGTGACAGATTAAACTAAATTGAAAAATCATTTCGCAGGCCATTTAAAATTGGCACTTCTTCACGGGCCGCACAATTTTCTCTGTGTGCCGCAGGTTACACACACCTCACGTAGACTCTTCAATTTAAATGTGAACCTGCGAAACCCTGGTCTGTACTAGCGAAACCCGTGTGTCGAGTCGCATCGACGTTAATTTTCAAAAATTTCTTTCTTGGGTCATTTACTGTAGGGCTCGCAGGTAGAGCTGTTAGAACTTTTGGAACCCTATACATTCAAAACGACGCAATTTTATCAAGATTAGGCGTTTACATTTACTTACCGTCATGTATTGATTCTACTGGCGTTATTGTACAGTTAGTCGTAGGGCATTGCACGTCTCGCAATTGCCGCCCACATATACGCAAAAAGTAGCTTGACGAGGCATTGAACTGTGGTTCCCAGATGCACGTCTTTGGGAATTCTTCGGGAAAAGCGGTTATCCGAAATTCGCCACTTTGACCCTCTGGTCTTCTATCTTCCTCAGAAAGATAACACTTGCTTTTCACGGTTCCAGACATTCCTGCAACCAAGTATCTTTTGAAATAGTCACTATGAACACACACGTTCGAGCGACATTCGCAATTTAAATCAAAATAGCAACAAAAGAGCATGATCGAACTCTACATAAATGTTATGGATTATATGACTTTATATATATGTGAAATAAGATCCTGATTTTTTGTTGCTATAAATTCTTGGCCTCATCATATGTATATATTAATCATTCATGTGACACGGGTCACGTAGTTAACAGCTTAAAAAACACAGAATAGTTTATCAAACGACTCAATGCCTTTATTTGATCAATATTGTCATACAAAACGCCACTTTTTTTTATATTTGACTGCGGTGTAATATCTGATCTTGAGGAAAGAAGTTATATATTGGTATCTGAGGGCGTGATACTTTCCGGTTCGGATTTAATTATCGAAATAGAGAGCAATGCTCAAATATATGGACCGGTGCTGATAGGAGGGTGACAAAAAAAAGTGTTTATATTTAATGTAAATAAAACGGAAATTGTGAATAACGAATAGCATAGGATTCAGAGAACATTTGAATAAAAAAATCAAGATGGCTTTTTAGTGGCTTATTTTGATTTGGAAGAGTTCAACGAAAATGCCCATGGACCTTTCGCCGGCACATAATTGGGATTTCGACTTAAAATCTTAGCAAAATTCAGGAATAACGTTAGGACAGCAGTTATTCATTTTTGGAGGACAAAATCGCCGCTTAAACTGTTAGAAATTATGTAAATATTTATGTATTCTACCTGTAGATAATTGCGGTGAACAAATCATGGTTTTCCACCAGTTAATTCTAAAGTTAACGAACGAAATTGAGTTTTATAATTAATGCTAGTACATGTGAATTAAATAACTTCAATACTCAGTATATGGTGAACAAATAAACTTCTCATTACCTTGTTTAAGACAGAAAATCACAAGTATTAATACAATCAAGATAATTTCCACTTTCGCCGTCATTGTCATGTGTTCTTATTTTTTTCCACTAGGAATTATACACTGTTACTATAATTTCCCACTGATGTAATATGAACAGTCAATATCGAACGACGGCACGAAAAATATTAAGATATGGCATGAAATCTGAAATTTAAAAAATGCATTTTCTGAAAAATGCTTGTCTGAAGAAGTCTGATCCCGTTCAGACGAAACGTTACATAAATACATTTGAGTTAGTGTGCAGCAAGACTTATGGATGAGATGAAAAATATTAGCTAGTAAATAATTTTCAATTTGCATCCGTTTTGAACAGGCCTCCATGAAATCAACCATTAATTACTTTCGAGTCGTAACATAAGCTCTCGTCGTTTATCCAAAGTTTATATTGGTACGAAGGAGCGAAAAATGTTGAGACATGGCTCAAAATCTGAGTTGAGAAACATTAGCTAGTACTGGTTGGTCCAAAGCCAGGCCCGTGGGCCACATGTGGCCCGCCGCTTCATTATCTGTGGTGTTGTTTCGCCATAAAAAATAACCAGATAAATCTTTTGACATATTGTTACATCACTAATGTCACTGAAATTACTAGTAATATTGCTAGCTGAGGCAACTAGCAAAGTTGAATAATATACTGGGCTAGTCTAAATTGTTAACTGCTGGCTTTCTTTTTTTTAGTCGGGAATATATTTGATAACAAAATAGGCTTCATAGAAAACTAAAAATCGAATGAGGAATTCATTATCCTAGGTTGGTTTATGCCTGATAACTGAAAATTAATGTTATGTCTGAACAATATAATTCCTGCCAGGTGTTTTTTGCTACCATCTTAAACAGTATTACAAAAAAGCTGCCTATTTGTCAGAAAATTTAGTAATTACCCTGCTATATCCCAAATTTGGTAAATCCGGTAATCAATCAATCTGCAGTTATTATTTTGTAAACCTGAGTTTGAAAAGAAAGCTTACCAATTCAAATAGATTTTTGACTGAATATGGGAGTGAAAATACCACAATGCTTGCTTGATATACCACCCTGAGCTGGTAAATAATTTTTTATTGACGTTCGTTTTTAATAGGGATCCCCAAAAACAGCCGATTTGTTCATAATATTGAATACAACAGTTTGAAAATCTTTATCTTTGAAGTCCGACACATGCCTGTTTATTACTGAAACGTTTTTGTAGCCACTGATATTGTCTAACAATATCTTAAAGAACCTTTCTACAGACTTACTTTGCTGTCGAAGTTAACTCAGGCATATATCTATCTCGTTTGGTTCATTTGAGAGGAATATTAATATTAATCAAGGAAACGTTCGATTTTCAGTAAATTCTACAACAATAGAGCAAAAACGCGGTTGGAAAAGGCGTATAAATTTATGTCTTATTGCAATTGCCGCAAAAAAAAATTCCGGGCATGACCTCTCCCTCGCTACGCCTATACAACCTTGTTTGGAGCAGACGGTTTGAATAAGCGTCGTATAGGAATATCTGAAACTATTAGTCATGTTTTAAACCTTATTTGACCCCCTAGTCTTCTTGTGCTTGCAAAGCTTTTTAACGGTAACATAGTAACAATGTCTAACCACTTGTTTCAACTGATGACTCAGAATAAGTCATTTTCAAACAAATGTCTCGCTATTAGGGCTGGGAAATTCAGGAAAAACACTTTAACCCGTTAACCGGGTAAAATTAACTGGTTAACCGCATCGTGACGTTTGACGTAATAATGTATAATTTTAGCTTGTTACGCCATAATGGTTACAAAGCAATGTCGGGTGTTCTTATCCCGGTATCGCTCAAAATTATTCACAACGGAGATAGTTTCTCGATCGCTCTGCCGCAAAAAATATTCAGCGTGGGTAGGACATATTGAAGTATTTCAGTAAAATCCGAACCC